CCATCGGCGCCGGGAGCGGATCCTACGCGGGGAGCACGAGTCCGTGCTTGGTGGCCCCTCCATCCCACCTTGGCCTCTTGCAGGGAGCACGGCCCCACACATAAATACGGACAGACAAGATAACAAAAATAGCATTAAAGAGTATTCACAAATGAATTAAAAACTACTCGGATATGTACAGCAGAGCGCGGGCGGTATGTACACAGACAAACCCACGAGGACAGCCGGGTCTGCCGGTGGTGGGCTCCGAAGGAGGAGGGATTATTTTATTTTATTTTATTTTATGAAGCTAATTTCAGCTCAAAGCCCGGAGGTCCAGTGCCCGGGCGACAGCAGGAGCAGCGCGGGGTGTAAGGGGTGGGGGGAAAGCAGGCACCTCTGCCACTGCACGCACCCGTCACAGCCACGCCATGGGGACAGGGATCTGCCTGCGCTACGGGGACCGGCAGCAACTGGTGTCCCCAAAGCGGGACCAGCGGCTCCTGCTGTCCCCAAAGAGGCTTCCCGGCGGCGGGGACGGCTCTCAGCCGGTGCCAGCCCTCGTTCCCACCTCCCCCGGGCTTGTGCCCCCATGGATTGGCCACGGTGGGGCTGCTCTCCGGGCTCTGCCTGCCCCTGCGGCCACCCCCCAGGCTGGGGCAGGAGCATCGCTCCCCGCTGCCCCTTCCATCCCCCCCCCACCACCCCTGGCTCTGTGTTCCTGCGCTTGCTGGACGCGGTGGTCCCGGCTCTCTGGCGAGCCCCTTGTGCCAGGGCCAAGAGCTCTCCCCCCTCGCCTGCCTCTCTCCTTTGCCACCCGGAGGAGCGGGCGCGGGGATGGCCATGCATTGCCCCACAGCAATCTACATTCAGAGGGAGGAGGAGGAAGAGGAGGGTCCCTTCCAACCGGGCACAGCCTGGGCCTGGACGCACCCATCCTCACCCGAGCCCGGGCTCAGCTCCCAGGAGCTGACGGGAGAAAGGGGCTCGGGGGCTGACGGGAGAGCAGAGCTCGTTGCCCCCAGCCTCTGCCTCACCCTGCCAGCTCCCCCCCTCAGCCACGGGGACGAGCTCTGCCTGGCGGACGTGGGGACGGGATCAGGATAGGGATAGGGATGCTGCGGGGAAGCTCCATCCCCTTCGGCAGCCTGCCTCGTCCTGGGGCCTGAGCATGCGGGAGAAGGGGGCACGGAGCCTCGACCCTTGCTCTGGCTGGGGAACCTTACCTTAGTGACACATCTACACACACACGCACGCACTCACACATGCAAAAATAAGTCTGTTTATTCTCTTCAAAGTGATCTAGAGGACCCTGCAGGGCTGGGACACCTTCTAGCCAGCGCTCCCCCCGGCTGCCTGGATCTCCCCAGCGCTGGGAGCTGTTGGCTGAAGTGCTGCATTGGTCTCAGCGCCTTTAAAACACAACGGAACAGTAAATAAGAAGGACTACGATAAAAGGAGCTGGCGGCACAAGGGAGAAAGCTCCGCGGAGCGGGGCGCTCGCCCGGGAGGCGGAGGGGCTGCCCCCCCGCGCCGGTGAGGGTGCTCGGGAGCGGAGTGTAGTGGATGTGGCGGTGAAGGCGCAGCCGTCCTGGTGACGAGGGGACTCGGCGGTGGGTCACTTGCGGCTCAGCAGGGATCCCAGCAGAAGCACTCCTGCCACCGTCGCCCCGGTCAGGAGCCATTTGTTGAAGGTCTCCTGGCCCTTCCTCACCTCGGCAGCAGCGTTGTTCCCGTAGAGGTCCACAAAGCGCTCCTGTGGGAAGAGAGGAGCAGTGAGCAGAGGGGTGGGAGCGGAGCAGAGACCCTCTCTGCCGCGTTCTGGGGCTCCTTCCTCCTCGGCGGTGCGGTCTGGAGGGGAAGACGCAGCGGGAAGGGGCAGGAAGGCTGCCTGGCCCCTGCCAGCAGGAAAGCAGTGGTGGGGGACCAGGCGGATGACAGACGCCTTGTGCTTCCTTGCTCTGAATCACGCACAGAGGGCGACGGGGGAAGCACAGGACCAGTCATGAGAGAAGTGGATGCCAGAAAAGATTTGCAAGGAGAATACCATGCAGGCAGGGCAGGAGATGCATCATGCGCTCCAGGCTCTCTAAAATTAGCATCGAAGTGTGCTAGAAATCATTGCAGCAGGAAAACGCCGAGGCCTGGGGGAGCAGCAGCGGGGTTGGTGCCCATGGCTGCAGCAGGAGCCCACACCGCGCGTCCCCCCGAAGCAGAGCCTCCCACCGCCCTCTCCCCACTGCCGCATCCCGGCAAGACAAGCGCTCCCACGTCCTGCCATCGCAGGTTACTCTGCAGCATGATGCCGCAAATCCCTGTGGCGAAGGCAGACACTGGGTCGTGAAACTCCTGCCTCCCTCCGGGCTTCGGGAGAGCGGGCCAAGCATGAGGCCTGGCCAGGAATGCAGTCACTCCGGCCCGGCTCGTTTAGTCCTTCATCTCCAGCAACAGCAAGAGCCGGGCAGATTTCAACAGAGCCACCACACTGCAAACAGCCCCAGCCCCTCACCCTCCGAGGGAGAGGTGTGACAGGGCTGGGGACGGATGGCCGTGGCCTGGACGGGGGGAAGGCAGGCGGCAGAGAGAGACCACCGGAACTGAACTGCTCCCGAAAATGGGCTCTCGGAGAGCATGCCTGCCCCCTGCGCCCATGGCACGATGCCACACCTCCTGCTCCCCTGGGCACCCAGGGACCTCAGGCCACCCTGAGATAGCTGCTCAGGTCCCTGGGCCACAGGGACTGCAAGGAAGGAGGAGTCCACGGACAGGCTACAGGAAAGCAGGGAACTTCACGCCCCAGTGGCTCCCAGGTTTATCAGGGCCAAGCAGGAGCAGCGGGGCTAGAGGGAGCCCGAGCTGCGAGCTCCGGGCTCAGGGACTGCCGGCAGCTCGGCATCAGCAGGGGCTCGATGCTGTCGCACCTCCAGGCCATCTTCCCGGCAAGGTCCCCTGTTCCCTGATAAGTGAACGCAGTTCCAGTAACCCGGCTGCTCTGGGAAAGCAGAGATAAGGCCGGCTGACGCTGTGCTTGCGTCATGCCTTACCACGGCCTCCCTGGAGGCAGGGCAGCATCCCTGCCTGCCTGGGTCTGGCAGCCCTGCCTGCAAGCTGCCTCCTGCGCCTGCCCACAGCCTGTGATCAGCTGCAAGCGCTGCCACAGGACCTGCAGGGGGTTTGGTGCCCAGATCACGGCTGGGATCGAGAGGCTCTTCAGGCAGGAGCCTCTCCGTCACTCATGGAAATGTGGTTTTCACAGCAAGGTGCGCAACAGACGCAGGCTCGCTCCCAGGGAGACGGGCTGTGTCCCTCTCCTCTGCCACAGGCCTCCCCCTCCCAGGGGATCAGGTACCTGGAACAACCTCCCGGGTGAGCTGTGCACCTCAGCACCCACCTCTGCCCCACCAACGCTCTTTGCCTTCCACCAAACACCATCTCCAGCATCTCATGACTCCCCCAGCTGCCTTTCACACCCCCTCGACCATGTGGACGTATCAGCACACCCAGGGCACTGGGACTACAGGGACTTGGCTAACTGACCCCGGGGCCACCTCACTCCGAGTCCTCTTCAGGGATGTGACAATTGTCCCTGTGACTCTTGCCACCTACACAGGGTGGCAGAAGGCAGCTCGCTTCCCACCAGGCCTGCCAGCTGGCACGGGCTCCACGGAGGTGTGGTATCGCATCCCGGCCCCGCAGGAATGGGCAGGACGGCGGCTCACATGCAGGTGCCATCAGGGGAGAAGGGGGAGGGCTGCTGCCTGCTGCCAGCCCCCCGCCTGGCTGCTCACCCAGGAGGAAGGGCACGGAAACAGCCAGTGATGTGCTGCAGGAGAGGGACGGGAGGAGAGCCCAAGCCCAAGGAGGGGATATTTTTCATTACGGCACAGGAAATCCCTCTGCTGATAGGTGGTGACGAGCGGCGGAGCGGTGACAGAGCACGGCAAGCGGCAGCAAACCGAGAGCAGGCTGGCGGGGATGGAGGGCACAGGGGAACCGGGGGCAGAAGGCATGGGCTTGTCCAAAACCGCCAGCTGTGGAGTGCCTCACCACCCCTGCAACACCCCTCTGTGCTGGGGCTCTCGCACCCCGGGGAAGGTCCTTCCCTCGGAGGCACGTCCCCGCCGCACACCCCCAGCGCCCGATGGCGTGGGAGCGCTCAGCGGGAGGAAGGAGGCTGCGCCCCTCCTGATGTATTCCCCAGAAAAAGCCAGTAAGGCTTGCCCCACCGAGCCCCACGTGTCTCCGCAGGCTCGCCCTGACTCACGAGAGGGGACATCCCCACTGTCCCCCAGGAAGGCTGGGGAGGTGGAAGGGGCCAGCCAGTTCCCCAGCCTCTCCGCAGGGCTGGCGGCAGGGCAGGCACCGGGAGAGGGCCCCCAGAGCCAGGGCAGGGAGCCGGGGAGGGCTGGTAGCCCAGCCTCTGCGACTGTGTGCTGCCGAGCTGGGCGAAAGGCAGTTCCAAGAAGCATGTTTTGAAGCCCTTACTTCTAAGAAAAGGAAGTGTTTGCTGAACAAGAGATAAATGGCATACGGTGAACCGAGAGCTATCGGGCGCTACAGACGGAGAAGAGCACAACAAGAGCCCGGTGCAGGCAGGGAGGGGACACGAGCCCCTCTCCTTTCCCTGGGAATGGAGCAGCAGCTGCTGGAGATGCAGCTGGAGGCCACAGGGGACTTGGGAGCCGAGAGCGCCTTGTCCTTCCTCGGGGAGACCGTCCCCAGGAGCTGCAATAGCTCAGCCCCTGCACAACTGTGATCCCAGATGTGTCCCCTGGGAATGGTAATCCCAGACCAGGGGGAGTGGGAAAACAGGCAGGAGCATCCTCCCTCCCTGTCCTGGGGGCAGGCTGAAGGTTAGGGAAAGGCAGCTTGCTCAGTTCCCACACTGCCCCAGGCCTTGGCTGCTCTGCACCTGAAGCCCAGCACTCCCAGTACTGATTCTGACCTCTCTGGCCTGGTGTTTGGGATCCCAGGCTTGCCCAGACACGTCCAGATATTTCTGGCCTCCCCGAGTCACCTTTATCTGAGAGAAAATATTTGGAATTCCTGAGTCGATCACAAGGACTATGGTAGCAACAGCACGTCAGTGTCTCAACCGCCCTCTCCACGTGCTCGTGGGCCTCTTCCACCCCAGAGAGGACAGGCTGTTCCACAGCAGAACACCCGTCACATCCCCTTCCCCACCCTGGGTGACAGGCACGTCCAAGAGGAGGATGCTCAGGGGAAGGCAATGAGGAAGCAGCGAGATGTTATGCCGACGCAAAAGGCAATCCCCCCCACGTCGCCTCTCCTCCCCCAGCACGGGGGGGAAGAACACAACGTGTGCTTGCTGGAGCCTAAAGCAGCACTTGCTGCAGGGGGGACACACGACACTTCCTTCCAGCTGCACGTGCTGCTTGCGGGAGACCGAGGACCTGGAGATCCAGACTCCACCGGCACCCACCACTCCACAGAGCTGGGGCAGGGAGGTTCTGCAGTGCCAAAGGCTCTTGAGACACCTGCAGTGCCCCAAAACCGCAACCCACCAGTCGAGGGGGGACGCAGCAGCCATGTAAACGCTGCCCAGTGACGATACACGGCACTGCGGTCGAGAGAAAAGAGGAGCAGGTCTGACCCAAAGCGCTTGGTCTTGGGTGGGAGAACAGAATCAGGCATGATGCCTGGCTGAGACAGCATTCACATCCTTGCCTTACTGGCCGTCACGGGAAGGGGAAGACCCAAAGTTTCAGCCTCTTGCCAGTAGCCAGCCCCAGAAGTTCAGCTGGTTTCATTCACCAGCACTGCCCGAAGCAGCTCCCCCGGCCGAACAGGAGGGAGAGCAATTGCTAGATCCCATTCAGGGCGAGTAGAGCAGGTTCCTCTTTCAAGATAAGCCCCAACGTTATGCCGACGCAAAAGGCAATCCCCCCCACGTCGCCTCTCCTCCCCCAGCACGGGGGGGAAGAACACAATGTGTGCTTGCTGGAGCCTAAAGCAGCACTTGCTGCAGGGGGGACACACGACACTTCCTTCCAGCTGCACGTGCTGCTTGCGGGAGACCGAGGACCTGGAGATCCAGACTCCACCGGCACCCACCACTCCACAGAGCTGGGGCAGGGAGGTTCTGCAGTGCCAAAGGCTCTTGAGACACCTGCAGTGCCCCAAAACCGCAACCCACCAGTCGAGGGGGGACGCAGCAGCCATGTAAACGCTGCCCAGTGACGATACACGGCACTGCGGTCGAGAGAAAAGAGGAGCAGGTCTGACCCAAAGCGCTTGGTCTTGGGTGGGAGAACAGAATCAGGCATGATGCCTGGCTGAGACAGCATTCACATCCTTGCCTTACTGGCCGTCACGGGAAGGGGAAGACCCAAAGTTTCAGCCTCTTGCCAGTAGCCAGCCCCAGAAGTTCAGCTGGTTTCATTCACCAGCACTGCCCGAAGCAGCTCCCCCGGCCGAACAGGAGGGAGAGCAATTGCTAGATCCCATTCAGGGCGAGTAGAGCAGGTTCCTCTTTCAAGATAAGCCCCAACACCAGGGGAAAGAGGATTCAGTAAGTGACACCAAACCATGAGGGCAGGTGGAGGAAGCAGACGTGGGCAACGAATGCCCATCTGGCCTCCTGTGAGTCAGGGGGGAGTGGGAAGGGGAGGGCAGAGTTTGGGTGCCCAAAGCTTCCCTTGCACGGGGAGGTGAAGGGTACGGAGGTCACCGGGACACCGACAAGAAGCTCTGAAAACCAGCAGAGCAGAGAAGAGACAGGCTCTATGGGCACTTGGTCTGACTTTAACACGGAGACTCTGCCTCCGGCAGGAGCGACGCCCCCGACACCCAGCCAGGCTGCTTTTGAGAGGGACAGCCACCAGCTCCGCACGTACAGAAGCCTTTCCCACCCAAGGATCTTAATGTGGTTTATTAAAATTAGTTGGTTCTCCAAAACCTCCTGCGGGATAAGTCAGCGTTGTTCCCAGACAGATCAACAGAGGTGCAGAGAGGTTAAGTGCTTTCCCTAGAGTTGCGTACGAGCCAGCAGCGTGAGCCACAGCATCTGACTCCCAATCCAGGCATTCTCGTCACGAGGCAATGTTTCACTTGAAAACAAGGCTGTTTCTGTTATACCTTTGCCGTAACTACAGCTGTGTTACTGCTAAGAGGTCTAACACCAATCGCTGGCCAGTCATCTGGATGACCAGACATTTGTTAATGAGATGCTGGGAACAGTTTTGTGCTGAGCAGTGAGACAAGCATGGAAAAAGAAAGGCAGCAGCTCGGCGCAGACCACAACAAAGCCCTGCATCGACAGCAACCTGCTCCCAGAGCCCCTTCGGGCTGCCAGCTCACCACATGGGACTGGCATATGCGAACCTGGAGGTGAAGCATGGGGGGAAAAGGCAGCTGAGATCTTTCAGGGAAAAAAAAAAAAAAAAGGAAAACGTAAGTATTCCCAAAGGCTGCCACTAGGATCCTGTAAACACAGCTTGGCTGGTCCCTACTCATTATGAAAGTGGGAGAGAGATGCTGGAGGTTCTCCCTCCTGCTCCCCCAGACACTGGGTCCGTGTGTGGCCCTGACCACCGCAGCCCTGCCTGAAGCCCAGGCCCTACAGGAGGGCAGCAGGGACACGGAGTGTGCCCGTGCTGGTCACACAGCACTGCCTGCAGGGCCGGGACTGGAGCTCAGCTTGAGCCCCTGCCTCAGGCGCATCGCACCAAGGGAACTTGCCTTCCAAGGCTGAGGTCTCGGAGCTTCTCCAGATGCCCAGGTTCTCCCCTCTGGTCCCCATCAGCACCCTGGGCAGGCTTCGGATGGGGTGGGGAAGGGGCTCTGGGGACATGGGGAGGGAAAGGGGCTCTGGGGACAGCATGGGGACACGGGGAGGGGAAGGGGCTCTGGGGACAGCACGCTGGCAGGTGCAAATGCTCCAGAGACCCAGCTCTAACTGTTATGCAAATGGTGACCTCCAGGGAAGCAGCTGCTGATCTCCATGACAATGGCAGGGAATGCCACCCGTCCCAGCAGCCTCTCCGGTCTCTCCTGCCCTGGGACTGGGCGCTGGGGTGCTGTCCCTGCCCAAGCTCCAGGGCTCCACATGCAGGGAAACCTGCGACCCTGACGGACGAAGCCATAAAGTCAAAGGGTTACTTAAATAAGCGCATCCCCTCCTCACCCTCCTCTCCTCCCAACTGACCTCACCACACACCGAGCGGGCTGCAGCCTCCGGTGGGACCGGCCGGGGGCTGCCCCGGGGCCTCAGCCCAAAGCCCAGCAAACCTGCAGGGCTTCAGCCTAGCCAGGGCCAGAGCCAGCTCTTTTCTAACCAGAAACAAACCCTCACTAGCACATTCCAGCCTAATCCTCACCACGGCAGCCTCCTGTCAAACTGGTTTCATCACCAGCTCCAGGGAACCTGCAATAACCCCACACCATTCAGCACAATTTCAGCATTTTCCAAATACATGAAAGGGGCTACGGTGACAGCTGTAACCCCCGTCCCTGCCCCGGGAGACTGCTGCGCACAGCACGAGATGGAGAGCAGGGAATTGCGCTCTCCGTTCCAGAAATCTGCTGAAACATTCGTGTGTATTAAAGCAGGAGATGGTGCAAACGACTAATCTGCTTGCATCCATCTTTCATCAGCGTTTCTCCCAGAACTAACCAGGCTGAGGACTCCCAAAGGTGCCGAAGCCCTGGCCGGCATCGGGCACGCTCGGCAGCGGGACGGCTGGCAGGCAACAAGGCTCGGGTACAAAGGCACAGCGAAGAACACATTGGCTGAGCCGGATCCACTCAAGAGATTAGCACCTGCTGGGAATGGGATTGTTTTCCAAAGGGCATTAAGTGGAATAGTCCGAGGAAAGACGGTCTCTCTGATGCTTCTCCCCACCGGACAGATGGTGTCTGAGCCCCGGCAGGCAGAGCAGCCTGCCTGCCTTTTGTGCGAGGGGCGCGCACGGGGGGCAGGGGAAGGCTCCTGCTTTAATTTCACGGTTATCTGCTGCCTGCGGTGCCGGGAGCCTGCGTGCCATGGCCAGCTCGCTGCACCAGACAAGCGCCTCGGCAAGGTCCTCCGCACCCGGGGAACGAAGCTCAATTTTCACCTTGTCATTGCTTTTCCCAGACGTCACAGCTCCTGTGCAATCGTGCCCTTGTGTAACTGTGGGGAAACCTGCACCAAGGAGACGTGTCGCGCTCACGAGTGCCCGGCTGTGGAGCCACGTTCTCTCCTATCCAGGGGCCGAGTCGCACAATGCCAACCGCTCTCCACGGCCCTCAACCACACTGCGAGCCTTACCCCAAACCCACCCTGCGGGGAATGGCAGCATCACCAGAGCTGCAGCGAGCGAGGGTGGGTGCAGGGACAGCCCCCGGGGAGATGGTTCCCAGGGAAGGGCTGTCCCGTTCTCCCACCTCGAGCCACTGGTCCCCCAGCATCCCGGAGGAGAGCCGCCCAAGCCTCACCACTTCCCACTTCAGCCCCAGCACCCCACGAGGCTGCTCTAATTCTTACATGCCACTTGAATGAAAAAGGGGAAAGGGTGGAGGTGCAGGAAGAGGAGGAAGATGTGCTCATTCTGTTTTCACTTCCTGTTAGTCCACATGAAATCTCAAATGATTCAGGCCACGAAGTCCCTTTTAGCAAAATCCTTGCTGACTTGAGGGCAGGAAGCAGAGTAGGCAGCTGATGCAGCAAACGCGGGAGAGAGTGGTGCAGCATGAGAAGGAGACTTTGTGCTTTGCCCTGGGCTCCTCCATACGTGTTGTTGCATGAAATAATCACTGGCTGGTGCACTGGAAGCTTCTAAATGAGGTCAGTTGCTTTAATAAAAGATATTAGCTCTCTGGCAAGTTTAATACGCTGGTGAGCCACACCATTACAGGATGGAAGCACTAACACTGCTATGATGGCTGATTTACAGGTAGCAACACCTCATACTCTCCATACATAAGCCATATGTCACCCAGGCACCACCCAGGGCCACACACACGCCCAGCTCCCGCATCCCAGCCCAAACCCTGAGCCAGCTCACCACGAGTTACACACAGAGGGTAATGCCATGTGCCGCAGGCAGCCCTGCTCCCCGCACAACGCTCGCAGTGTCCCCAGCCTTCCTCAGCCTCAATGATGGCAAAAACCAGAGAGATGTGCAAATGGGACCTATGGTTTGGAGAACTAATGAGGTGATGCAGACAGCTGTCCCGCTCCACCTGAGCGTGGCATTAGCTGCATTCAGACCAAACCAGCTCCGTGCCAGCCCAGGCCTCTTCTCTGAGCTTCCCGAAGAGCCCTTTGCCCTCCAGCAGAGAAGAAAACCCTTCCACGTTCCTTCAGGAAGCAGCCAGCTCCAGCAGCTCCCTCCCCTCGCGTGCACAGTCCTACCCCCAACAGACAGGTCCCTGCACGGCTCTGCCCTTCGGCCCCTCGCACGCCTCCCGGGATGAGCGGCTCCTGCTCCCGCTCAAAGCCCTGCCTGCTGCCAAGTCATCATGTTTTGGAGAATTTGATTTCAGCCTTAAGAGCACCTGGCTGCCAGCAGTACGGGCAGGGAGAATCTGTCTCCTCTTTGCTCTTGGCCAGGCCGAGTACGGAGCAGAGGACACTTGCCTCAGTTTCCTCCGAGCTGAGGACTGGGGCTGCAAGCCGGGGAGCTCCGGATCCATCCTGGCTCAGGGGCAGGGGCAGAAGGGCTGAGCTCAGCCCTGCTCCCACCGGAGGCTCCTCATCTCCAGGGCTCATCTCCCCGAGCAGGATACTGATGCCAGAAGCTAGCTACTAATTGGATCTACTTAAATCAGAAGCTCCGTCTGCAGACACAGCTGAAACACAAGCTTGAGCAGGAAGGAGGATAATGCAATAAATTCAAGCAGCTCTCCCCAAGGGAATCACGCAGACCCCTGAAACTTCCCTCTTCGCAGATACAGCCTATTACCCTTCCTTGGGCACGCTGTGTAAACGCAGGGGCAAGCAGCGGTTGAGAGAGTAACCAGCCCAAAGCCTGCTGAAATGCCATGCTGGCCCAGCTTCCTGCTCCCAGTAGCAGTGGGAAAATAGACCAGTTACCGCACAACGTACAAACAGTCCCAGTGGCCACGGGAGCCTCTCTGGTTAATGCTCCGAATCCCGCTCCTCCCTCCCTCGCTACCCCGGAGGCAGGCAGCAGCGCTGAGTGCACTGGGTTTCCCATTAAAGAGATCCTGAGAGACAGCACTGGGCTGGTACACGTGAGCACGTGTCCGAGAGAAGACACGGGCGGCTGGAGAGATGCTGGCTGCACGCAGGAGCTGCAGCGGGCGTTCCCGCCTGCAGGCAGTCCTTCCCAGCACTGCTCAGCCCTCGGATTCTTTTCCTTTTTTTTTTTTTTGCTACCTAAATTAAACATGAGGATAAAATAAGCAAAATACCTAAAAATAAAAAATAAAACGAGCATTTCTACAGCACAACTAGGTCACAGCTCCCCGGCATGCGAGTCATGGCAGCCAGTGCTCAGCCCCTCGAGCCTCCCGGGTTCAAAACTGACATCTCTCTTAAAAGGCTGCCTCCCGAAACCCACACCTGCTCCCCGGTAAGCCCAGCTGGAGCCATCTGCTAACGGCTCTGCCTCCCGGCAGCCCTCTGCCCCCTCGCTCTGCCGGGCTGTTCTGCTTCTGTGGCAAAGAGTAATAAGCCTTCTCCCCACCTGAACCCGGCAAGAGCTAACCCACACCCCGCTGCACCCAGCAAAGCCCTTGCGTCCTCCTCCACGGGCGCGCTGCAAGGGAAGCTCTCGCATGCCTCTAGAAAGCGCGTCCCCCAACTTAATCGTCCTTGGGATGCCAAGGGCTTAGGAGCGGGACTTCAGGGAGACCTCATGCCAAACACCCCTCTGCACATCCTTCCAGGTGGAGAGCAGGGAGGAGGAACGGTTTTCCCTGTCCAAGGCCAGGGCAGCAATCCAAGGAGTGCCCTGGCAGGGAGGGACACTGCTTCCCTTGCATGCCTCCATTATCTGCGCTAATCTTTAGTCTCTCAGAACATAATCTTTAGTTGCTCAGAACAATAGCGTTGAAGGGTTACATCCCTCTCGGGAGGGTGGAGGAGGAGAGTGTGGCTACTTCCCTGCCACGCAAAGGCAGAGCCACCCCGCAGAGCATACCTTCGCACTGAATCAGCCGGCAGGCAGGTCAGCATCCCGACTGCTGTCTGGGTCACTGGAGGGGGGGGGCGCACCGCCCCCCGCCCCCTTTTGGGC